TTTGGAAATCAAAACCTCGACTCGTGTTCCTGATAAGAATTTTCTCGTTCGTGATTTGACAATTATTGCCAGGATTCGAGCAACCACCAGACCAAAAGATTTGTTTCGTAATTTACAATCAAACTATGTAATTAATTATTTTTTTATCTACATTTAATACTTCATGTATGTGTCCAAAAATTTGATGTGATAAAAAAAGAGTGAAAAAACTTGGAATCTAAACAAGGCCAAGGATGAAATAAAGAATGCGGGAGAAAGAAGGGGAGAGGATATAGGGATGCGTGTTGGTCCGGCTCGTGCAGTGCTCTATTTGCTGGCTTACATAGACGAGGGTGGCACCTCTCTTATTACCATGTTACCGTAGTATACCATTATGGCGGACATTTATTACCGCGTGTTTCTGTTTTGGATGGAGGTCAGGAACTCGCCCATGCCTGAAGGCGCTTGTGACCGACCACCTTTTTTTGCGATAAAAAAACTTTATTAATAATCCAATAGTATCATTTTTTAAGCGAATAATCAAATAGTATCATTACAAGCAAGCGACACGACAAACTCAGGAAAAGAAGAAAAAAAGACCTGACTACTACTAAACCTAATAGCATAATGAGCAAGTTGATGCGCTACATTATTTTGATCTCGACTAATCTTGAGGACTTCCACCCGGCAAAGATCCTCCATTCCCAGCGTTGCTTCTTGAAGCGTAAACCAGAGCAAGAATCGATCTTGTGTAGAGTTCCTCAGCTTCTCAGCAACCACGGCACAATCAGTTTCCAGGAACATAGGGACGTCCAGCCAACGCGCCGCAAAAGCAATTCCTTCACGGCATGCCACAGCCTCAGCCTCAGCCTCCTCTGCTTCCCGGCAATGGCGAAGTAAACATTGATCTTCATCCAACCTGGATCACACCTATTGCAGCTATACTAGAATTAGGCAAGAAAGCCCCCATCAACATTGATCTTCATCAAACCTGGATCAGGCGGAACCCACTTCTTCTCTTGCCGAGCACCACTAGTCATCCTACTTCTTCCAACCAAACCACAGCGCTTTCCCTTGTTATCAACTTGGAAACTGTTCTGGCGGCACTGCATGAGAGAATCCATGTAGCGTGTAAGAAACACCACAGAACTATCAATCGAAATCTTTTTGCCTGCCCGTAGGACACTATTACGCACACTCCAAGCATGCCACAGAAGCATAAATAGATTGCCCATGACCTCCACTGAATACCGGCTCACAAGGATGAGCAACCATTGAGGCCCTGTGTATTAAAAATCATCCTCAACCGGAAGGACCCAATGCTCTCTCATGGCCTGGCGAAGAGCAACAGCATGTGGGCAACGCACGCATGCATGGAAGCAATCCACCCGAACGTGGCCACACAACTCGTAGGTTTCATATTGCACAAGATGTCTGTAACACTTGTTAGCTTGAGTAGGAATACCGTTATTGGCGACCTTCCATATGCAAACACTTTGATTTTCTCAGGTACTTTAATATACCACAGATCTTTCCACACCTTTCTACCATCAGGAGTAGAGCTGGTACCAATCTCCCCTTCACCGTGCTCTGTCCGCATGGCCAGTCTGTAGGCGCTTTTAACTGAGAACAAGCCAGACTTCTCAAAGTTCCAAGCTACATAGTCTTGACAGGCGTTATAGGGGATTTTAATCTTCAATATCTCCTCAACATCATAGGCATAGAAATATCTCCTCATATTATCAGTTATACATTCATCTTTACCGTGTTTGAGAAATATTCACGGACGCAGAAATTATGCCCTTAAGGGCACGTACTCCTACACATGCGACCGTTGGATGTTGCTTTGGGATGTGTGCCAACTAACTTTTACAGTATGGTTGGTATATGTGTATTTTTCCTGGAGATACAACGTACGGCCCGGGCACAGACGCTCTCGTCCCACATGCTCTCTCTATCGCGCACGTCCAGCATCTTCTTCATCTTCAGCGAACCTCACCCCGCCGCTGCCACCGCCCCGCCGCGGCGCGCTAGGGCATGACCTTGTATTCAGACCAGCACGGCCAGCCCCTGGTGCAGGCAAACAAACGTTCCCAATTTGACTCTCAAGGGCGTGTTTGATTGCTGGGACGTTCATAGCCTGGTCGGACCAGGAGAGCCAGGGTTCCAGAGGGCAGGCCTAGCTGTTTGGTTCCATTTCCCAGCAGAGACAGACTACGTAGTGATTTTGTTTGTTTGCCTACGCATGTGTATGGGATAACCTTAGAGCAGCGAGTGGTGAAGTTTACACCCAATTCTTTCCCTTCTCTTCTTCCAGGTATTCCTACAAACAGGTAGAATGCACACACCACCATTCATGGCTGCAGCCATGCCACCGCCGTTGACGACAACCTCTATGGGCACACCTTCGTCGCAACCGTGTCGTGGCCTCAGCCGTACCGCGCGGCACGCTCTGGTTCCCATGGCAACCATGCATGGCGTACCAGCGTCATCACCGGCCGATGCCCCTGCACTCCGCGAGGTCGAGCCCCAATCTCGACCGCCATGGGCGAGCTCAAGCCAGTCCGGACCGCGGCCACCGGGCAAGGCCCCCAGCACAGTTGAGGCAGCTGTTATAATACTACTCGGTTCGTTAATATAAGGCATATAGTTTTTAGCACCAATATTACTTGGGGAAGGATGTGAGACCGAGGAAAAAAGAAAAATCAGGTCATTTTCTCTCTCCCAATCAGATTGCTTTCTAAATCTAAGGGATTGGTTGAGACATGTGCTATGTACGGTGGGAAGGTTTCCAAACTAATTGGCGTGGGAGCTGATACATACCTATATTTTGAAATTTTCTTTAGAAATCTATATGCCTTATATTAAGGAACGGAGGAAGTATATTTTTAACTAAAAAAATATTTTAAATATATTTTAAATTTTATACAATTATGAAGGCTTAAAACCATACACAATATTGCTCCAAATCCAAAACAGACAAACTGAAGTCTGCACTTTAATCATTTTTCGTCAGTGGTAAAATAGTTGTTTTACCCCTCAATTAACACCGTTAAGTGCCTAAACTAACGGAAAAGGCACATAGTAACTGGATTTAGTTTTCAGGCATAGTAGGTAAGTTCAAAGAAAAAAAAGGCCATGGAAGGAAGCTGGACTTTTTTTGGAGGCCTCATAGGTAATTTTCTCAAAATAAATTTGATAGCGGATCAGAGGGATCAACCAAACATATGTATGAGTCAAAAGCTCATATGCTTCACCACACATGCACATTATAATCGACAAATTGTATGACACAGTTTTACATGGATCCGAGTTTTGATTTGACAATATATATATATATATGCACCCTACGTCGTATGGCTCAAAGTTTTACCTACCAAAAACACCACATAAAAAGGCATAGGTGTAGAACCTTGAGGCAAGGCAAAGGAAATCATACACCACTCCAGCAATTTGAGGGTCAAGGAACTTGATTCCTTGTTTGAAAAAATCTTATAAAAACTTTGAGGGAAATGCCAAACCGGTTGTTATTTTTAAAGGAAGTGCTAAATTTCATATGCCTGAAAACAATGTTTCCTTCAGGCGATTGTTTCTAGCCATCCGATCTAGATCCTATGGCTGATATATCGTCTTCAACCTCCGTCTCTTTATCACTCCGAGATGCAAGCCATGGCTGAGGCTTCCACCTTCTGCTGGCTTGCCCTGTCCTCGGCAACCTCCTGGTCACCGTGCCCGCACCGCTACCCCCCGCCGCGCTAACCTGATATCACCGGGCTATCCTTGTGTCTCCGCGTCCTTCCTTGGTCCAATCGCCATCTTCCTCCTCCCGCGGCCAACAGCGCTCTCCCGCCTTGCCGCTTCGCCCCACGCTCGCCTCTTCCGCCTAGCCGGCTTGTAGCCCAACTATTTTTTTTAAGGTTGCTGGCCTCTCCGAACGGCAATGGCCTGCTTGAACTTGTCGCTTAAGAGCACTCCAACTCTCCAAGTTTCAGGCAACTGAGAGTAGGGGATGTGTATATTTTTAAAATATATTAATATAATTTTTAAAAGGTGAAAATATCCTATACCCTCGTAGCACGACCGAACCATCATCGATACGGTGATGTCCTCTCGGTCTCCTTGTTGGGGTAGGTGGAGCGAGGGTTCATTCCTAGACGACCTGGTTAAATGACCTAATTTTTTTAGAGTTACACAGTATAACGCAGGACCACATGCGCCTTGCTATCGAGAGGAACATCGCCTGCCACTAAATGAACAACGCCAATAAATCCTTGAAAATTCGCTCCCACGGGAGCCAAGCCTAGAGTCTAATGTGCTACTGATGCTCTTGTAACCAATAGGCTATAAATCATTCACAAACAATCGTCTTCTCTTTCCTTCGTGAGCCTGTTTGTTTTGGCCTTCCCGTGACCTTTTGGACCTCAGCTTTTAGGCCTTCCAAAAACCAAAAAGCTTCTGTAAGCCAAAAGCCAAAAGCTCACAAGTGAAAGAAAACTAAAACAAACAGGCATAGCGATTTAGTTTCGACTGAATCACCGATTACGTCATGTCACATGTTACAGGTTACAGGTAGGCGGTAGGGTAATCCATCCACTTGGGCCCTAGTTTAGATGTGTTGGAATTCTTCAAGTTCCACTCTAATTCACCTAACACATATATATTATTGCGAATCCGACTATAACCAACGAGACCAGATACGATTAGGTTCCGGAGTCGGGATTCAGCCAGAACCAACAGTAGTCTCGGTCAACGACTCGAATCTGAGTCGAGCTTCGCTTCCGATTCGTTTAACGAAAGCCTCGAAGGTACGCACGGTTCAACCCCTGCCTATTTAAGAGCGGCAGCCGTCTCAAGTTTTTCAATCGATCGAATCGAACCAAGTCACCATTTCACCAACCAAACCACCGCCGTCGTCTGCCCTCCATCAGCCGCAGTTCCGATCCAGAATAGCAAACATGGACACGCCGCCGCCGAGCCGCGGCGCTCGCGTGCCCTACCTCGCCTTGAAGCACGTTGCGGGTTCAGACCGACCCATGTTCTTCAGCATCTCGGAGAAGAAGGCCATCAACATCGACGCCACAGGCGTGCTGGGGAACGACAACTGCTGGGCAACGTCGCAGGGCTGGGTACTGATCCGCGACGCCGCCGCCTCGTCCACCTACCTGCTCGACCCTCACGACCGCAGCGCGAGGATCCAGCTGCCACATCTGCCGGAGGATGGCCTCCCTTCCTTCTGCACCTGCGTGCTCTCCGATCACCCTGATGTCACCGACCCAAGGAGCTGCCTTGTGCTCCTGATCCACACGGACAACCCTATCTTCTGGTACTGTCGCATCGGCGACGACAAGTGGGTGAGACACGAGTACGACATCGAAACGTAGGCTTTACCCTGTTGGAGAACCGCCGGTGAGAAGCGGTACCAAGCGATCCTTGAAGACACACTCGAAAAACACAACAGTTTTTTGGTCGCACAACCGCAGCCGCGTTTTTCATATATTAATTGTAGTACTTAAAGAAAAATACATGCATAAGTGGGGAGGTATTCTCACGAGAACGCGCAACACCTAAGCGCACTACTTGTCGTGCCATCCCACGACTCACCAGCTTGCGCAAGCTTAACTAAATATAGCTATCGACTAATAAAAGCAAATGCTATTTACGCACTCGACTCGGACGTGCTATTTACAGACTCGACTCGAGACTAGAACAAATGATCGGTGATGGCTGGATCGCATAACATTTCTCCCCCTAGTTCATGCCTTCTCCACCGATCGCAGATGATGCCGATCACTCACGCAGCTCCAAGAACCACACTCGCCCAGTACGCCTTGGTCGATGTCCGCCAATTGCTTCTCCGTCGAGATGTGTCCCAAGACAATCTGTTCCCCTCGGTACATTCACGGATGTAGTGGAATTTAGTGTCAATATGCTTACTCGATCATGATGCACGGATTCTTCTCGAGAGCTATGGCGGTGATTGTCCACCTTAAGCTCCGGTGCTCCGGGCTCGGCACCGGCCATGTCGGTGACAAGCCGAGTGAGCCACACCACTGGCGGCAGCCGCCGTTGTCAGCTGCTATGTACTCGCCTCGCAGACGAGGATAGAGCGACAACCTTTTGCTTCGACGATTGCCGGTGATGATGTTCCCGCCGAGGAAGAAGACAATGCCGGTGGTGCTCTTCCGGGTATCGATATCCCCGGCCATGTCAGCATCACTGAACCCGGTCAGTCGTGCCTGTCCTTCTTCACGGCGAGTGTAGTAGAGGCCATGGGTGCGTGTCCCCGCCACATAGCAAAGTACCCGCTTCACAGCCACCATATGCTCTTCATGCGGCGCCTCCATAAACCGGCTAAGGTAGCCCACCGTGAAAGCCAAATCAGGCCGCGTGTGAACTAGGTACCTCAGGCCACCAATTATGCGCCGGTACGCCGTAGCATCCACTGTGGGAGCGATGCTTGATCTGCTCAGTTTCAGGCGGGGCTCCATTGGCAGCGCACTTGGGTTGCAGGTGCCCAGACCGCCGCGTTCCGGAAGCTTCCCTGCATAGGCAGATTGGCAAAGGGTGATGCCAGCTTTGGTTTGTGTCACCTCGATGCCCAAGTAGTATGAGAGCAACCCAAGGTCACTCATGGAGAACAGCCGCATCATGTCGCGCTTGAAGTCGGCGATCGCGTCGCCGCTGGTGCCGGTGATGATAAGATCGTCTACATAGACGCCGATCACCAGCCGCGACGTACCGGTGCTACGGGTGTAGATGCCGTGCTCTGAGCTGCTCCTCTAGAAACCAAGCGAAATCATTGATTCGTCGAGCTTGGCATTCCAGGCCCTTGGCGCCTGACGTAGTCCGTATAACGCCTTGCGAAGGCGCATCACCTTGCCGTCGTTGTTGCCGACGATGAAGCCCAGTGGATGTGACACGTACACTTCGTCCCTGAGATCGCCATTCAGGAACGCGCTCTTCACGTGCATATGGTGGACCTTCCAGCCTTCGTGCGCCGCTAGGGCCAGCAGCGTGCGGATCGACTCCATGCGGGCCACCGGGGCGAACACTTCGTCGAAGTCCACCCCGGCGCGCTGGACATAACCCTTCGCCACCAGCTGGGCCTTGTGGCGGATGATGTTCCCGAGCTCGTCTCGTTTGACTTTGAAGACCCACTTGAGCCCAATGGCACAGTGCCCAGCAGGTAGTGGGACAGGCTCCCAGGTCGCGTTCGCTTCAATGGAACGCAACTCGTCGTGCATTGCTTGACGCCAGCATGCCGCGCGCTCAGCTTCGCCAAAGGAAGCTGGCTCATCGGCAGAGGTGAACATGAGCTCCTCGTTCAGTACTCTAGCCACGAGGCCAGGTGGAGACGCTGGCCCGACGATGGTGTCGATGGCGCGGAACCGCAGTGGGGCGTCATCGTCATGGTCCGCGTCCAGGGCGTCATGGTCCATGTCCGCTGGTGGCGTGGCGAAATATGGCGGTGAGGCCCCGCCTGGTGGTCCTTCTAGCGTGGCTGCTGCAGCAGATCCGGGCGACGGTGACTGTGCTGGAGGTGGGGATGCTGACGGCATCGCCCTGGGGACCTGCACCGCCTCGGTGACGTACTCGACGGTGAACGGCTCGTCGTCGCCAGGGTGCAAGTCGAGGCTCGACGACCAGTCCCAGCGCGCCGCCTCATCAAAGATGACGTCGCAGGAGATCACCACGCGCTTGGTCGAAGGATCATAGCACCTGTACGCCTTGGAGCCGCTCTCATAGCCGACGAAGATCGTGGGCGTGCTCCGATCATCCAGCTTCTGTAGCCCCGGCTTCGTCGTCTTGACGTGCGCGACGCACCCAAAAGTGCGCAAGTAGTGGACCGTCGGACGCTCTCCATACCAGGCTTCAAACGGGGTTTTACCATCGACTGCCCGCGTCGGGGCCTGGTTTAGGAGATGCACCGCGGTGTGGACGGCCTCACCCCAGAAGAAGCTCGGGAGTGCCTTCGCCTTCAGGATCGAACACGCCATGCCAACGACTGTTTGGTTACGGCGCTCCACCACCCCGTTTTGTTGCGGAGTGTACGGGGCAGTGAGCTGCCGCTGCACGCCACGGCGCGCATAGTGTTCACCGAACTCGACGGAGGTGAACTCCCCCCCACGATCGGTTCAGAGCACCTTGAGTTTCCTGCCCAACTCCACTTCCACCGCGGCCTGGAAGTTCTTGATGGCCGCTGCCACCTGATCCTTGCTTGACAGAAGATGGAGCCACATATAGCGACTCATGTCATCAACGAGCAGCAGAAAATACTTGTTACCGCTTGGAGTCGGTGGGGACACTGGACCGCACAGGTCACCGTGGACAAGGTCCAGGGCGTGCTCCGTGCGCCGCTTTGCCTGGCTGGGGAAGGGGGTCCTGCGTTGCTTGCCGGCGAGACAACTGTCGTAGACCTGATCGATGTGATCTAGGTGCGGCAGTCCATGGACCATCTGCTTGGTGGCGAGGGAGCGGAGCGACTTGAAGCTTATGTGGCCGAAACGTTCGTGCCACCACCAGGCTGCCTCCGAGCTGCGCGCCGCGAGGCACACAGGACGCCCGATCACCAGCTCGAGGATGTACAGGCGAGTGTTCCCACGTGGTACCTTGGTGAGCAGATCCCGCGCCTCGTCGTAGATCCGCAGGGCGCCGTCGTAGAGGTCGATGCGGTACCCGGCTTCCTCCATCTGACCGAGGCTGACGATGTTCGCCACCAACCGAGGGATGTAGTAGACTCCGGCGAGGGTGCGATGCTCGCCGTTCTTGAGGACGAAGATGATGGAGCCCCGTCCCTCGATCTCGACCACGGACCCATCACCGAAACGGACCGTGCCACCCACATTGGTGTCGAGGTGCGCGAACGCCGAGCGCGCACCGGTCATATGATTGGTCGCTCCGGTGTCGAGCACCCACCTACAAGCGTCTCGATTGGTACGGGGCTCGAGCTCGGCGAAGACTTCCGCCTTGTGGATCTCGACGCAGGTGGCGAGCCACGACGAGGAAGAAGACAGCGCGTCGTTGATGGTTGTGGCGGTTGTCGAAGCCATCATGAGCGCTTGTTGCTCTTTTCCTTCCGCGACGTGCGCCTTCTGCTCCCGCCTCGGTTTGTGGCAGTCCTTGGCGTAGTGGCCCTTGATGCCGCAGTTTGCGCACTTGTCAGGGTTCCTCTCTTGAGGCTTCCGTTGACCGTCGTGTCCCTTGCCATCCCGGCCGCCGCCAGAGCCACCGCCGCAGCCATGGCGTGTCTTGCCGCGCTTGCCGCTGCCGGAGCCTTCGCCGGACTCACGCAGCTTGAGCCGCGCCATCCACTCCTCCTCCGTGACGAGCAGGCGGCCCTGCTTGTCGGCGGTGGACGATGCGCCCGCGGAGGCCGGCTTCTTCTTGCGCTGCTCGATGGCGCGCAGATGGCCGACAACTTCCTCCACCGAGAGCTCGTTGACGTCGAGGAGCGTCTCGATGGAGTAAGCAATCTGCTCGAGATGTTCAGGAACCACCTGGAGCATCTTCTTCACGATCTGGGCGTCGGTGATGTCGTGGCCCAAAGTGCGGATGGTGTTGGCGAGAGACATGATACGGAGTGAGAAGTCATCCACAGACTCACCCTCGTTGAAGCCAATGTCGCCGAATTGCCGGAGTAGGTGCTGGGTGTTGGCCTCCCTTTTCGGTCCACCCCGGCGAACGGTTTTGACCGCCGCCCATGCCGATCGCGCCGTCGTCGCTTATGGGCTAGTGAGCCCAACATTTCGAGAGGGCATAGACCGCAGGATGGCTGCCATGGCGAGGCGATCCTCGCGGTACTCGATGAGCACCTCCTCCCCTTCCTTCGGCTCGACGGCGTGCCATAAGCCCGCCAGATTAACCTTCATCGAGGCGCCCACTCCGACGATAGTTGGAGCACGTGAGCATGGGTGCTTGATGGCGCCGCTGTTCGCTCCCTTGACCACGCCACTTTCGACGATGACCTCGCCAAGAACCTCGGCGCCCTCGGCGATACGTGGCGATTGAGAAACTTCGACGGCGCGGTGGTGGCGATGGCAAACGATCACGGACGATGGGGCGGACATCGTTCCGGACTCTAACCGCTCGATGCCAAATGTTGGAGAACCGCCCGGTGAGAAGCGGTAAGCGATCCTTGGAAGACACACTCGAAAAACACGGTCGGGTTTTTGGTGCTGTCAATGGCGATGTTTTTCATATATTAATTGCGATGACCTAAAGAAAAAATACATGCATAAGTGGGGAGGTATTCTCCACAGAATGCGCAGCACCTAGCGCACTACTTGTCGTGCCATCCCACGACTCACCAGTTGCCGCAAGCTTAACTAAATATAGCTACTGACTAATAAAAGCAAATGCTATTTACAGACTCTGACTCAGACTAGAACAAATGATCGGTGATGGCTGGACTGCATAACATACCCGACCTGGGCGAAGGATGCAGCGAGAAGCTCGTCATAATGTCAGTCGCAGCGTGCCAAGGCAAGTTCTACTTCACGGGCGGCAGCTACGGCGAGCTCGGTGTGCTCGAGTTCAGCCCCGCGCCTGTGCTCAGCTCCATCGCCGTTCCCGACGCCATGGAAGAAGTCCTTGGGTGCTGAAGGGAGGCCCTGGTGGAGTCTCGGCAGGAGCTCTTCATGGTCTCCTTGCTATCGAGCATGGACCTCGACGTGGTGTACCGAGTCCACGTGCACAGAGATGGACTTCTTCTCCAGGCAGGAGTGGATCGAGGTCGACGATATCTGCAGTAGCAAGGCGTTCCTGCTATCGCCGTGGTACTTCGGCGCGTTGCACTCGACCGGCGAGTGCGGGCTAGAGCCGAACTGCGTCTATGCCGCGTTCCCGGTGAAGAAGCGCGTGATGGTCTTCGATGTGAAGAGCGGGACGATGATGATGCAGGAGCTGGATGAAGCCCCGGTGGCTAATCAAGCGTTGTGGCTGCTGCCTACTGAGCACCAGTAGACGTCGAAAAGAAGCTTCTCGGCTCGGGGTTTTGCGTTGCTGTTTATTTCATTTCATTCAAGAGCCTTTAATTAGTTCTGTGAGACCCTGTATCTCATTGCAACTCTATTGAATTATCATACTTTAATTCGTCTCAATAATGGTTCTGTCAATGACATTCTTGAAGCTCTTCGATGCAATCATCCCTGAAAATCAAAGACATACATTTCAGAACTAAGGGCAAACAATCGCAATTCCTAGTAATTACGTTACGTATATATAATAATTATAGTAATAGGCAAAGTTAACAACAACCAATTACATACACGTGGTTTGTCGCCAAAAAAAAACATACACGTGGTTTTTCAGCGACCTGTTCCTTTTGATCACCAGAGAGTTTTTCTGCTACGTACTAGTAAGGCCAGCACATGACCGACCGTTTAGATCTAAAATTTGGTTACTGTAGCACTTTCGTTTATATTTGGTAATTAGTGCTTAATTATGGACTAATTAGGTTTAAAAGTTTCGTCTCAAATTTCGATCGTAAATTTTTTTTTCGTCTACATTTGCATAAGATTCGATGTGACGGATCTTGTGTTTTTTTCTCTAACCCGTTTAGATCACAAATTTTTGGATTTAGCTATTTGTAGCACCATTTGACAAAATTGTCCAATTATGGACTAAAAAGATAATCCACGAATTAGTTATTTTTTTTACTTACATTTAATGCTCCATACATATGCCGCAAGATTTGATGTGATGAGAAATCTTAAAATTTTTTGGATTTTGGGTGGGATCTAAACAGGGCCTTAAGGTCCGTGTGTGCAGCAGCATTGACGTTCAGAAATCACCGAATTCAGTGCAAAGTGCGTAACCATGGACTCATAGGTGATAGGTCAAAGTTCGAGAAAGACTATTTGCTCAAGGCAAGGCCGTCAGAAGGTTTACGGATTTTTTTTCAGTCCGGCCTGGGCAATTTTAACGACTTTGCTAAGATGGATACATTTAAACATTCATACTTTCATAGTGAGTTAGTGACCCGTGACGATATAATGTGAAAAAGGAAAAAGGAAAAAGGAAAAAGAAGCCTATTTTATTACTATATAGAAAAATCACTTCGTCGTTGACCCCCTACAAAAAAAAACAAAATACTGAGTCATATTCTCGTGGACTTTTCAATTTACTTTTTTTTTCCCGTTTCACCACATATGTAAATTCAAATTTCATGCTGATTATCGGACCCTATACATTTTAAAAAAATATTTCACAACTGTTTTCTTTGACTTGGTGTATGTGATATATAAGACTTTACCCCTAGAGATACCCAAATGCATGAAAAATAATTACAGGAAACCACTAAATTTTTTTCTAATGTACTTCCTCCGTCACCAGAAGAGTAGAGTATAACTCTAGCTTCTTTCTCGGTCAAAGATTTGACAAATATGTATTCCTATAAGTCAAAGATTTGACTTTACCCCTAGGGATACCCAAATGTATTTGTATTTATGATACCAAATAAGTATTATTGTAATAATTAATATGAAGTATATATTTTCATAGTAAATATATTTGAACATATAAATACGAACACTATTTTTCTATAAATTTAGTCAAATTTGATAAAATTGGGGTTAGTCATTAATCCAAAATTGTAATATTTTCGGGACGAGCTAAACACTTTTGGTATGAGGAGTGAAAATAAAAATTCATTAATGGCTAAATCTAACCAATTTAATAAGTAGTTTAGGAGGTAAATCGAGTCAATGTTATGTTCATGGGTCAAATGGATAAAGCGTAGTACATTTTATTCATAATGTGAATAATCGATAGTAATTGGATTTTTGATAAATGACGTTCTTCGATATTCTCCTTTTTATTCGCACATTATTTTAATTACTACACTCATCTAAAAAATAATTTATTTTAATTTTGTTCTAAATCAAACTATCTAAAGTTTGATAAATTTATCTATTACATTACCGATGTTTGTATTACCAAATAAGTATCATTTTTATTGTGAAATAGATTTTTATAACATACATATTTAGTTTATAAATATTGATAATTTTGTCTATGAATTTAATTAAATTTAAAATAGTTTGACTAGTACAAAATTAACTCTCAGTCCAGAAAAGAATCAAGTCTAGCATAATATCAAGTTAAGTAATTTGTTAAGAAGGCATCAATATTTATGATATCACAAATAAATATCATTAGATTTATCATGAGATATATTTTTATAGTATACTTACTTGACATCATAAATATAATTTTTGTACTGTATATGTAGATAAAATTTTGACACCATAACCAAGAATTTGTATTAAAACTATATTTTTTTAGGTTAGTGGCCATGTTCGTTTTTCTTATAATCCGTCTTTTTTCAATTTGTTTTTTTTGTCGAAACAGTGTTTTTCTCTCACAACAAATCAGCTAAAATAGTATTTCGGTTTGTTTTTTCAGCGAAGCGAATGGACCAGTGCTATTTTTTTTCTGGACGGAGTGGGATTACCCGTCAATATGGTCACCATGGTGTGAGATCAGAATAATCAGATTCTCGAATGCCTCTCATTAGCTGTCTCCAACACGATAAGCATTAGGAGACCCACGCTCAAAATGGATCTGAAATGCAATATCTATAGTCTCCAATATAATATCTATATGAAAGACATATTTTGAATGTCAGGAGAGGTATAACTAAAATCTGAGTATTCTCTCTCCTGAAGATCTATTTGCAAAAATGATTCTTTTTTTAATCTTATTATTGAAGAAGAAAAAAAAAGGTACTGAACTTTTCGCTGTAGCTATAGTTGGCCATGTGGCCCGAAGAAGAAAAAAATAGGTAGTGCTTGAACTCTCTGGTGTGACGCTATTTAAACAGACGGAAATGACCCGTGTTCCTTCCCTCCAGGCAGCCCTCCTCGGTTCACTCCACTTCCTCCCATGCAGCACTCGGCCTCCCCCACGCCGACCAGCACCTGCACGGTCCACACCCCTCCTCAGTCCCTCTCCCCACTGCCCCCCACGCTCGACTTCAAGACTCAAGACCAAGACGCCAGCACCCCTCCTCTCCCTCTCGGTCTCTAAGATGCTGGCGCTGACCCTCTCGCTCTCGGGCCCTCTCCCTCTCCGTCTGCGAGATGTGGCGCCCGGCCTTCACCCTCCAAAAGGCCTGGTGGTCCCAGGAGCACGGCAGGCGGCTGGCCCCAGCCGACCCACCGCGCCCCTCTCTCTCGCCTCTCTCCTTCAAGTGGCACCCTTTCTCCCTCCCCACGATGCCGAGAAAGGCGGGGAGGCGGATCCAGTATCCACTTGGCGGGCACACGGAGGTCTCAGTGGCGCCCTCTCTCCTCTCCTCCATCCGTGGCGCCCGCACAAGACAAGACGAGTGGAGATCGGCAGATCCGGCGAGGTGGCAAATGGATCATGGCGAGCAACTCACCGTTCAAGCCGAAATCCTCCAGTGAGCGGGCCGTGGACGCCGACCCCGAGCTCCGCCGCTTCCCTTCTCCGCTCACCCGACGGATCCGGCGTCAGCGCCTGGGCGCCTCCCATCCGCCAAGACAAAAACTGTGGCGAAGCCTTGGCCGGTGGCGGCCGCTCCCCGTGGCTACCCTTGCCTCCTGGCTCCTGCTCTCCCCTTCCCTCTCTCTGTGAGCCTCGGGCCAGCCTGGCACGCTTGAAAGCAGGTCGGCCGTGCCTTCTCAAAAAAAAAGCGGCCCGGCCGGTGCTCGAGCCCTTGGTCGCAACACGACGCTCATTGGAAAACGCCTGTGAGGCCCGCGTGCCGTGCCGGCCCGACATCCTCCGGGCCGTGCCTGGCACGGGCTCGTGCTGAGCCGGGCCGGGCCGGCCCGATGGCCAAGTATAGCTGTAGCGCTATTTAAACTTATTTTTGGGCAACGGTGGTAGGAGACAGTCCCTCGGAGCTCGGACTCAGACTAAACAAATCCGAAACACAAAGCAGGGGCCTCTTCGCAAATCCCACCACCACCACCGCCTCCGTCCGCCTCCCAGATCCGCCCGGCCGTCGTCGTCCTCCTCGTCCGCCCCTGCGGCGGTGAGATCCCCCGCCGCCCCGCCCTGGATTCCGTCGAGAGGATCGTCGAGGACTTTGCCATGGACCTCGCCATCAACCCCTTCTCCTCCGGCACCCGCCTCCGGTGAGTCGTCCTCTCTTACATCGCGTCATCCCTCTCACAGACCCCTCCTCGGATCTGCGCGTGGTGTAACGTAGCCGAGTGTGACTATTCTTCGCAGGGACATGATACGTGCGATACGCGCGTGCAAGACGGCAGCGGAGGAGCGCGCGGTGGTGCGGCGGGAGTGCGCGGCGATACGGGCCGCCATCAGCGAGGGCGATCAGGACTACCGGCATCGGAACATGGCCAAGCTCATGTTCATCCACATGCTCGGCTACCCCACTCACTTCGGCCAGATGGAGTGCCTCAAGCTTATTGCTGCCGCGGGCTTCCCCGAGAAGCGCATCGGCTATCTAGGACTCACGCTGCTGCTCGATGAGCGGCAGGAGGTCCTCATGCTCGTCACCAACTCTCTCAAGCAGTATCCACCCTGTCTGCACTTACCGGTTGTGTTTGTTGATGCTGTTATGTGTTATTTCTGATTTCTAGAGTATTTGTTATTACTTAACGTGGGCAGAGATCTTAACCACTCAAACCAGTTCATTGTTGGGCTTGCGCTCTGTGCTCTTGGCAACATATGTTCAGCTGAAATGGCGCGCGATCTGGCACCTGAAGTGGAGAGGCTGTTGCAAAATAGGGACCCTAATACAAAGAAGAAGGTGCTCACTTTGACATGGCAGATTAGCCCCTAGTGAATTTTGTTTGAGCGCTTGTAATGATATTCCATTCCTGGAGTGTAGTAGTAGCTCTGCTTCTAATTCTACAAACGCAAAGTTAACTATTAAGATGTTTCAAGGACCAGAACAATAGTTTTCCATTTCTCTATTTTAGCTGATAACACCACCAAAACCATGCTTAAGATGTAAGTGATAAGTGATGAGTGATTCTGCTGGAAAATCATACACATTTAGATGTTACCTCTAATAAATTTGTCATTGAAGAACCCTTATCAACATTGGCCTCATTTGTACCCTGAACATCTCTAAGTTGGGCACTTTCACCCTTCTCCAATCATCAGTACTTATCCTTCTTAGTTAGTTTGTGAAACGTGTGCTGTGGAGAGGTCTCGTTGATTGTCTAGCTCTTGTTATTTTGTAGGCCGCCTTATGCTCTATAAGGATTGTCCGAAAAGTTCCAGACTTGGCAGAAAATTTCATGAGTGCTGCCGCATCATTACTGAAGGAAAAACATCACGGTGTTCTGATATCTGCTGTTCAGCTTTGCATGGAACTATGTAAAGCGAGCTATGAAGCATTGGAGTACTTGAGGAAGGTATGCATGACAAAATCACCAGAGTAATACTTTTTCCTGGAGAATTATCTACACTTAGGGGTGCTTGGTTTGAGGAATGGGATACTCCATCATCTTCTCACTCACTTGTTTGGTTTGTGGAATGGAATGGGTTGATCCATCAGGATCTCTTTCCTCATAAGCTAATATTGGTATAAGCATGAGGAATGGAGTCCTTCCACTAAATTTGACGGATGGACTCATGATGCACCAACTCATCTAGGATGGGGTGGTGCCTCAAACCAAACACCCCCTAGTTTCTTCAGTCTCGATCTTAGATAGCAATGGCTATTATTTTCATTCCTTTTTTCCGTGTTAACATGCTGAAATCCTTGTGTGTTTGCCAAACTTGGATGTCTGAGAACTAAGTTATTCTTTTTTTTTTCCATTCACAACAGTGAAAAAAGACCATGTTAACAGAATTTCAAGTTTTATTCTTACTCCTTATTCTAAATTGATCCGGTCCATTTACTTTTGGAAACTTGGCATGGTCTTTTAGTTTATGTGACATGTCTGTTGTATGGACTCACAGCATCTGTCCTGTTCTAAATAACCTGGGCATTTTATGTTTTCTCTTTTTACCATCTATGAAATGTATGATGCTGTTGATTAGTCATTCCAAATTGTTTGCTTGCCTCAATAGTAGAATATATATTTTGAGCTAGCTGACACTGATTTCTAGGAAAAAACTGTAGTATTTGATCAATACCAGTTGTTAGTTTTCTGTTATCTTCTGAAATGACCTGAGAGCTACAGCATCATTGGCACTCTTAGCAAGGGATGCAATGCAACCCAAACTCCCTATTTTTGACTAATAGCAGGATATAATCATCACTTATTGCTAAAAGCATATTGGTACGTATGTTGTTTCTTCTACGTAGTTGGCAAGGTTTTCACAAATAGACCTTTGGTAGCTGTAACAGTATGTAGCATAGAATTTCCAAATCGATCTGACTGACTTGACAGATGGTGTGAGGAGTGGGTATACACCTGTGCCACCCAGTTACGAGTCCTCTATGACACTGAATTTTGGTGCCTATTTCTTCTTATTTACAATGCGACCTAGTTTCTCCTAAGTTGGTCTAGTTTTTTAATGACTAGTCAACAGTTCAACACTGACAGACTGTCTTTCTCACACCTGCATCTCCACATTGGAATGCATAAATCTCAGACCTAGCCCTTGTTAATTTGGATCATTCATGTGCTGATACCTTAACACAAAGTACCACTATAAACATTGATACAGTAGTGTGACCTTTTTTTTGTGTACGCAACCGTTCCCTTTGTTGTGATCTGCACCAGAAGTGCAAATTTTCTTCTTTTCTGCCTGATAGTTGATTTTTTTTTGGACATTGCTGTTGGATAATACCATCAAGATCATTGTGAACTTGCATTTTCATTTGTGTCAATAAATGTTCTGACAAAGCCTTCTTGTTGCAGAACTGCCTTGAAGGACTGGTCCGAATACTGAGAGATGTGTCCAACAGTTCATATGCTCCTGAATATGACATTGGTGGCATCACAGATCCATTCTTACATATCCGAGTGCTTAAACTCATGCGAATACTGGGTCAAGGAGATGCAGATTGCAGCGAGTATATCAATGATATTCTTGCTCAGGTGGTTTGTTCATCTTTTATTTTATACACATAGTTGCATACAACTACTGGAACCATTTCTTTTAAATAATTACCACAACTTATGTATTACAATATTATTCCAAGTGTGAATAATTACCGCAGCTACCATCCTATGAACTTCTAATGGCACTGTCCTCAGTAATCTGTGGTTTGTTAAGTTCAAATTGATGTTGTTTCATCTAGATCTTTCCCAGTGAGTTACTGCTGCTAGATTCTGAAAACTGTGTAATACGGATGTTCAGTTATTATTGTTATCATCATCATCTTTATCTTTGTACCCTTTTTTGGGTTATCTTTGCACCTGGCATTCGCTTCATCTTTTGTGTGGATTATAAACGCATGAATTCCTTTTCCAGGTTTCAACGAAAACTGAGTCAAATAAGAATGCTGGAAATGCAATTTTATATGAATGTGTGGAGACAATAATGGGCATTGAAGCTACAAGTGGCTTACGTGTGTTGGCTATTAATATTTTGGGTCGATTTTTGTCCAACCGTGATAACAACATAAGGTAGATTTGCTCTTGCTCTTAGGCAACTGATATGATGAACATGTTTTTTTAAATATATAGGACAAAAGGGTGGAAATGGTTTCTATATCTATTTAGATTTTTTAATTTCTTTGCGGTTTGATGTTTTAGGCGTAATGTTGATTACAACACTATTCTGTAGACAACAAGAATGAGTGGGGGCACATGACCTGTTGTTTAATAGTGAAATGTTATCCCATCTATCATATGTCATAACTAAAGTTCTCATTGTATATACTGCCTTTTCAGATATGTTGCCCTAAACATGCTTACGAAGGCCATCGCCGTAGATACACAAGCTGTGCAGAGGCACAGGGCAACAATTTTAGAGTGCGTCAAGGTAACAAAATTTGCCAGACTAATGTGATGCACCTATCCTTTTTGTCCCTTTTGTGAAATAAAAGACGCTCATCATGTATGACTGAGATAAGGGTTTGCTCATTTCTGTGTATCTTGAGAAGACAGTTCTTTCCTGCTTTGTATTGTTTCCAGGTCCTTTACTTAAGTTATACATAACAAGGGAAAAAACTTTGATCCTAGAATAATTATTTTATTTTCAACACATTTTCTATTTACCTGCCCTGTTTATGGATCTGTTTCATGGACCTGTCACTTTCTACTGGATTCCTAATCTGGTTTTGTACTTATTTTCAATCACATATGTACGCTCAGGATGCAGATGTCTCTATTCGTAAAAGGGCCCTGGAACTTGTTTACCTACTTGTCAATGATACAAATGTAAAGCCATTGACTAAGGAACTTGTTGATTACCTTGAAGTGAGTGATCAAGATTTCAAGGAAGACCTCACTGCTAAGATATGCTCAATAGTTGAAAAGTAAGCTACTAATTCTGGATCCAGCATTTCTCCTTGTTGTGGATGACTTATGGTTTGTGCAGTTTTGTTCTCTGCATGCAATTTGAAGAAAAATCTGATGTGCATGTTCCTTGTTGCCCCAATATTTATTGTGTATCCACTATTGTTAGACATATGGACATATAATTGATAAACGATGATGATGTTTGGCTTGTGCAATAAATGTTGCATTTTCCTGTTGTACAGTGTCTTTATCGCCTCCTAGATGGAGGCAGGTAAATGGAATAAGGGAGCATGATTCATTAACGAATGTGAATTGATTTGTTTCCATTTGAATAGTAGTCTTTTCTTTTCATGCCCTCTTTTGATCTTGCCTAAAGTCTTTAATCATAGTTCTTTCCGCATATTTATATCAGCCTAATTTTCTGGGTTCTATCACTTATAAGAACATGGCATATACATCATTCTCAATACACTTTCTTTTGCGGTATGCTAGATGACTGACTGTAATATCAGTGTTTTGGTGCTTTTATTCCTATTGAGTTTTGACACAGCACGGAGCTGCTACTCCTTTTCTCCCCCAGTCCCCCTCCCCCCTTATTCTGCCTAACTACAACACACTTTGGTTATTTAATTATATTGGGCCCATATCTGTGCTTGATGAATTGTTTTAGATTTGGTGCTCGTATTGAAAAATAATGGAACATTTTGTTTATTTCCTGTCGGTTTATTGGGAAATTAATGGTTTGGCATTTTTTGTTAGGTTTTCCATGGACAAGCTATGGTACTTAGACCAGATGTTCAGAGTTTTATCTCTGGTACGTGGAGCAGTACTGCAGTACAGTTATTAGAGCTTTTCTGGGCCTCTCTCTCTTTTTGCATGACTATCAATTCTACAGCTATACTAGTTACTCACATGCTCAGTAGAATAGTCTTTTTTTTACCTAACTTATGGAGAGAAAGACTTGCATACTTGATCAGGGTTACTGACTACTATTAAAGTATTCACGGGAATATCATGTTAGGGAGTTGTGATCTATGATCTATGCAGTCCCAGCAATGCCTACTATCAAATCCTTGTGTCACCCACACCTTCCAGATGTGGTAACTCCACCAGTGAAAAGACCCAAGACCAATGTACTAAACCAAAATGTCAATTGCCAAATAATCTACCACACCTTTGTTTCTATATGATTTCCCTTCCGCCAAGTAAATCTATGAGCTGTAAATGTATGAGCATGAATTTCTGTTGCACTGGTAAATTAAAGATCCAAATTGATGTTGTACTCTTTCATGTCCACAGGCTGGTAATTATATAAAGGATGATGTATGGCATGCTCTAATAGTTCTAATGAGTAATGCATCTGAACTTCAAGGATATTCAGTCAGGTCATTATATAAGGCACTGCAAGCATCTGGTGAACAGGTATGGAGAAAGAATTAATGTTCTTTGTGATGTATACTGTTGGATTATGTATCTAATGTGCATAGATCTCTTCTATGTTGATATGTTTAGGAAAGTTTAGTTAGGGTGGCTGTTTGGTGCATCGGTGAATATGGAGAAATGCTGGTCAACAATCTTAGTATGTTGGACATGGAGGAACCGATCACGGTGAGTTAAAAATTCTTGGCAGCCATCCCCTCTTGGTTATACACTTTCTACTGAGAAGACTCTGCACTGATGATTCCATCATATATTGTTATGTAGTCTTGTTACTTTCTTCATGCAAATAATTTGTAAGCTATGTTCAAACTGCTCCAAATCAGTGTATATACAATTTTGACAGCCTCCCTTGTGATCACCTTGCGAATTGTGGTCACCTGTGTTATCTGTAATGGCTGTCATTGGGAGAAATTATGTGACCATTCGTTTACTCATATGGCTGCATTTATGATTGATTACAGAATTTCTGCCTGTATATAGTTTATAACTCTAGCATCTTCCCTCATTGGCCTTCTCTTTATGTATTTCATTTAGGAGTATTGCTCCTAAAATTTATTAGTGTCAAACGGCTTGGTCAATTCCTGATCTTGTTCAGGTAACAGAATCTGATGCTGTGGATGCCGTAGAGGCTACTCTTCAGCGCTACTCTGCAGATGTTACTACTAGGGCTATGTGTCTTGTCTCTCTTTTGAAGCTTTCCTCCCGGTTTCCACCAACATCAGAGTAAGTTATTGTTGAACTGGAGCTTGTGTCATAGTTAAATACTTTGTACCATAGTGGGACAACCTAACAAATGATTCAAATACAGTGTCTTTTTGTGTGAAGTAGCAGAGTTTATGTATGTTGACTCACATGGAGTTTGTTTTATACCGGCTATGGCTTTTTAAAAAAAAATATATTCTATTTTTCTTCTGTATATTTGTCCATGAACCGTATGCGCTTGCCAATCATTAAACAAGTATACACTAGGTTCACAATTGTCTCAATAACAGAACAGCAGTCCACAGTTTCCAACTTGGTTTGGTAATTGTGGTCTGTGGATCACATAATTTCTTGTGAACTATATCATTTTGATCTTAGTCAGCAATAAGAATTGTATATCGTTGAGTTTATAGTGTAACAGTCTTTGTTTCTCTTCATGTCTTTAGCTTTGTTTACATGCAGTGTCAGCTTAGTTTCAAATCTTGTAATGCATGCCTTGAAACAAGTTCATTAGATTCATGTGATCTATCGTAAAGTGGCTGCATGATTTTATCATTTTTTGTTCTTGTGTTGCCAGGAGGATAAAAGATATAGTTGCTCAAAATAAAGGGAATACTGTGCTTGAATTGCAGCAAAGATCTATTGAATTCAGTTCCATTATACAAAGACATCAATCTATAAAGTGAGTGGGAGATTATGCAATTATTGAGGATAATTTTGTATTCCATGTACTTTTGTCAAAGAAAATAGTAGTATGGAGGATAATGCTGGTGTATGTGCAGATCATCTTTGCTTGAACGGATGCCTGTATTGGACGAAGCTAATTATTTGGTGAAGAGAGCTGCTTCTACACAGGCTGCAGTTTCATCTTTAAATTCTGCTCCAGCAGCCACTTCTGGAGGCCCATTTAAGCTTCCAAATGGTGTAGCAAAGCCACCACCAGCTCCTTTAGCTGATTTGCTTGATTTGAGTTCTGATGATGCTCCAGTGACTACTTCGTCCCCTACTACAGCACGTAATGATTTTCTACAGGATCTGTTGGGCATTGGTTTGACTGATTCGTCTCCTATAGGTCTTACACTAAACTATTTTCCTTCATTAATGATTTGCTTCTGCTGCTTGTTGGTTTGCACACTAAGCACGTCATGCTTTATCATATGTTTATTATTTCTCAACACATAGTCCAAGTTTGGTTTTATTTCTCGGCACATACATTTGGCTTTAATTTATGCCAGTAGTGCAACAGGTTTATTATTTCTCAACACATAGTCCAAGTTTGGTTTTAACTTATGCCAGTGGTGCATACCTTCCTGTTCTATAAATAGGGTTAAACCTTGTCGAGTGCATCTTGTTTCAGACAGTTAAGATCTGTTAATTATGCATTTATGCTGGTTGTAGTGACATTGTTAGCTGAAATGTTGCTTATGAGTTTGTTCTGGTCTATGTCTAGGCGGAGCTCCGTCTACAAGCAATGACATTCTGATGGATCTCCTATCTATTGGTTCATCTCCTGTACAAAATGGCCCACCAACGTCAAACTCTAGCCTTCCTGCCATAGGTAAAAAAACTGTCTGTATGGACAATTTGTTTTTTGAGTTTTTGTCATTTGTGCTTATTTGTCTGACACCATGTTGCAGAGACTAAACCTGTCCCTGTTAAACCTCAAGTTGTGGATCTTCTTGATGGTTTGTCCTCAAGCACATCTCTTCCTGGTTAGCTCCTGATGCTTGATTATCTGATAAGGAAAAGTTGCGAATACCCCCTAAAAGTCACTAAGTTTGATTTCCCTGCCATATCAAACTCAAGGTGACTTCAAAGGTGGCTTTTGCGTTTTCCTACTGAGTACTGATTAGTCATAGAATCAATGCTAGGATACCTTTCGATATTTAGGATCAATGCTACAGAGAGACGGGGATATTGATGAAGATGTTAGCCATAGAATCAAAGCAGGGTGGATGAAGTGGCGCCAAGCATCTGGTGTCCTATGTGACAAAAGGGTACCACAGAAGCTAAAATGCAAGTTTTATAGGACGGCGATTAGACTTGCTATGTTGTATGGTGCAGAATGTTAGCCTACGAAAAGACGACATGTTCAACAGATAAGTGTCGCAGAAATGCGTATGTTGCGTTGGATTTGCGATCATACAAGGGATCGAGTTTGGAACGATGATATACGTGATAGATTAGGGGTAGCACCAATTGAAGAAAAACTTGTCCAACACCGGTTGAGATGGTTTGGACATGTCCAACGGAGACCTCCAGAGGCACCGGTGCGTAGTGGAATCCTAAGCCAGGATAGTAACGTGAAGAGAGGTAGAGGAAGACCGAAGTTGACTTGGGTAGAGGCAATAAAAGGAGACTTTGAAAGGATGGAATATACCCAAAGACTTAGCCTTAGATATGAGTGCTTGGAAAAGAGCTATTCACGTGCCTGAACCTTGATTGCTTCTGCTGGGTTTCAACTCTAGCCTACCCCAACTTGTTTGGGACTTAAAAGGCTTTGTTGTTATTGTTGTTGTTGTATTGATTAGTAACCTTCTTCCCATAATCAGCCAAATTTACTGTTACTCAATTTGCATGTTTGCCAGATGAGAATGCAGCTTACCCTACAATCACAGCATTCCAGAGTGCAACCTTGAGGATCACATTCAGTTTCAAGAAGCAACCTGGAAAACCTCAGGAGACTACAATTAATGCTTCTTTCACAAATTTGGCAACCACTACATTCACAGATTTTGTCTTCCAGGCAGCCGTGCCAAAGGTAGCATTCGCCCCTGAGATTCCTGACACTAATCTCATTCTCGACAACAGAGATCTTAAATAGTCAAGCCGTACTGACCAAGTTGCTTAGTTTCTGTTGCAAATCTTGTAATCACTCAACTGATTGTTATAGGGTGAAAACCCATATATGATGAAATTGTTCACAGACAAGATATGTTTATGACCGACATTAAGGCTGTGTTCGTTTGGCAGGGAATAGTGACCAGGAACCATTCCCACCAGGAATGCTAGTGTAATTTGTATAGCCAATCCTCACTGAGAACTATCCCTGCCCAGGAATGGCCATAATCGAATGAGCCCTAAAAGGGCTGTAGTTTCCTAACATTTGATGTTTTGCTCACCTCTGTTGCCCTGTGTTTCAGTTCATCCAATTGCGTTTGGACCCAGCTAGCAGTAGCACTCTTCCCGCCAGTGGAAATGGGTCAGTCACACAAAGCCTTAGTGTCACCAACAACCAGCATGGGCAGGTATTTCGCCATCCCCACCCCCCCCATATGATATTTTAGAGATTGTAACTGGTAGCTCAGCTTTTGCATGGCCCTATGAAAATGATGCATCAAGATTAGTATGTCCGATACAGTTCCTTTCAGTTGATAATGATTTTTCTTAATGCAAGCAAAGCCTAACACACTGATGAATAGTCTGATCATGGCTTATGCTTGAAGTTTGTTCTTGAATTTTTTTCTATCCATTCTGATTCTGGACTGTTTGCCTCATAGAAACCACTTGCAATGCGTATCCGGATGTCTTATAAAGTGAATGGTGAGGACAGGCTGGAGCAAGGGCAAATCAGCAATTTTCCTGCTGGGTTGTAGTGCCACCTGTGTCTATAGGGTTGGGGGTGCTCTTTCAGCGTGCTGCAGGCAAGGCGTTTCTATTCTTGTTCCTGACCATTATTCTCACTTCTATTTGCCTGCTAATGAGTTGTGTACACTGGTAGTTGGTTTTGGCCGTCCATTCTCTCTTTATATATAGTGTACAGTAGATGGCAGCGATTAATGATATATCCTCAGTTTTGCTGAAATGTATTTATATGTTGGTGTATATTGGACTTCAGGGTAACAAAAATTTTCACCCTTTTCCCGGCATACCAAGCATCAAAGGAATGTGTTGTATCATGATTTTCCCCAATGTAATTATTTATTTTTTCTAATCAAGCTCGTACAGGATTATTGTGCACAGACAAATTATTTGTTTTTCTTGTGCCTTCCTTCAGGCATGTTTGGAATACCATTTTTTTTCCTTCTTTAAGTTCTTGCCAAAAACAAGTAGCTATCAAACATTTTCATTTGGTCCCAGGGTTTTCAAGTTCCACTTAGGAAATTCAGATAAATTTGGTCTGATTTGGTGGTCCTCAACTTTATCTGGATATACGGAAAGCACGATCTGTTGCCCACTGGAGTTTTTCTCGGTGCGTTGTCAGGCATTTGCACTGCGCATGATCCTTGATGGTCAACATCAGACTGATTGCACGAGTGCAGTGTGACAACATCAGCACAATTCTGTAGTGGTACTTGTTTCCACTGCTCCGGCAATCTTGTAGTAACAGTACTCAGAAGCCTTTACCGTCATTTCATTTGTCTTGTCGCCCATCTTTGTTTCAGGCATGTCTGCATGCCTGAGTTTGGTTGGTTAGCTCCTTCCAATTTTACCCCTCTGCTCTTAAGAAAAATCCCGTCGGCGCCCCAACTTTTAGAGACTGCATTTAACTTCTTGACTGATTTTCCTTGCTTTCCACCACTTCTCTTCTACATGTATTAAATGCCGTTTGGTACTAGTACTGACGTCCCGTTTGGTGTGCCAGTTAATTAGCACGGGCCAAACATGTCAAAGCCTAAAGCATCAACATCCTGTCATCTCATGACACGATCGCACAACCAATTTGCCAAGCTGTGTTGTGCCATGCCAACCCAGTGGAGCGGTGCAAATCGCTAATCACCGAGCCGTGCAGCGGGCACATTGAATGCGGCACTGTGATGGCGAGGCATCTTTGAAAGGTTAGCAGTACTTGCTGTCCGTTTAATACCGGATACGGACACATAACCACACACGCTTAGGACCAGGGCCTCACATGCGGCTGCTGCAGTCAGGACTCAGGAGCGGGGTGCGTCTAGGCTAGACGATAAACACGCCCTGTACAAAACCCATCCATCGCTCTCGGGGCGATTCAGAGACGCTCCAGTCCAAGTTAGCAAGCCCGGGACGTGTCTGATTATAAGTATTCTTATCTTTTCCCCGTTCCTGCAGCCATTTTCTAATCGGATTGCTGCAGCTTTGCTGTTGCTGTTGGTGTAGATCGCCTGCAGAATCGGCGAACAATTAGGCAGATGCATCAGCCGCACCAGTCACGGAAACCGAACCAGCCGGCAGGCAGCGTCCAGTCATGAAAAACCTCTCCTGTAACATCACATTACTACTTGCACCGCTGCAACGTCAGTCAATCCTAATAAAAGCTGCTTTCATTCGTCATCACGGTGACCTAATTTTCGGTGCTACCAGTAACTTTCATGGCTCTGCGAAAATGGAGTGGTTGCTGGTTGGAACGAGTCCTGTGCTGTAAATTTCCTCCCTTCCGCCTCTATTTTCAAAGAAGGGCCGTGAGCGTGAACGGATTGCGAATTCTATGCGTGAAAGTGTACGGTCCCTTCTGCTTCACAAGTCCTTGTGATGGCTTGAACATTGAGCAACAGTACTAGCGTACAAACGCTTGCTAAGGCAAGAATCTGCCATTAAAACTAATACTGCTTCGAAACAGTGTCCTCGCAAAATAAAATTGAGTGTGTGACCTATAGAAGATAAAAAAGTAATGTTGATCACAGATTGGTACCTCAAGTTTGCAAGGGCAATTTCGTCTCTGCGCTAATCTTGTAGTAAAACTTAGGAGTATTGTTGATCACAGATTGGTACCTCAAGTTTTCCCACTGAAATGTGAGCAAAGACGCTGGCCAATGGCAAATGAAGGAACAGCAACACAAAAACTCACCATCCCATGCTAATTCTAAATGGGATGCTCTGTTGAACATGGTATAATTAGCACACACAAATTTCATCTTCATCATGCACCTAGAAAGCCAAGATCATATCACCACCACCACAAGCAAATGAGATTTACTAGTAGGATAAGCGAATGCATATGAACAAATTTCAGCGGTTAAAAGGGCGAGCAAATCAGCTCTAATAAAGTTTGGAACACGCACCACCACACACACGATTTCTTTGTGTCACGATTCACGAATCCCCGGGACTTGGCCTCTGCCACGGCAGCCTGCCGCCGTTCATGTTCATCGCCGGGGAGTCATCGGACGCGAGTACGGGAAGCTTCCCCTTGCCGTTCCGCGGCCACTGCCAAATCTTGGACACCGAGAAGCTGTCGCCTTTGCTGCCCGCGCCGATCCTCTTCCCCTCGGTGCCGGCGCCGCCGTCGGTCTCGGTGCCTGCGGGGTTGGAGCCGACACCTCTGAGCCTCGCCCCGGCCCGGGCATGGCCGTCGCCGTGCCTCCTGTGGACGGACACCTGGAGGCTGGCCTCGGCGAGGACGTACTGGTAGGAGCCCATGGAGTAGCACCGCCTGGCGTCCAGGCTGCTGCTGCTCGTCTCGCCGTCCTCCCTGGTAACAATGCCGGCGCCGTCGCGGATGGGGCCAGGCGCCGCCCTGGACAGGTTCTTGAACTTGCCGAGGCGCACGGGGAGCACGGCGTCCTCGTGCTTCCACCCGCCTCCTTCCTCGTCGAACCCGTCGACGAACAGCGCGTCGGCGTCGGCGCCGAGCGCGCACCGGCACAGCGGGCACGTGGAGTTGGAGAGCAGCCAGGTGTCGATGCAGTCGATGTGGAACGCGTGCCCGCACAGCGGCAGGAGCCGCAGCCGGTCCTCGCCGGCGAACTCGCACAGGCACACCGCGCAGTCGAACGGCTCCTTGGCGCCGGCGCTGGCGCCGACCACCACCTCCCGGTACAGGAACACCGGGAGCGCGTCGATGACGTCCTGGTCCAGCCCGGCGTCGTGCAGGTGGAACAGCTGCTGCAGCTGCCTCTGCAACGCCGACTCCTCCCCGCCACCGCCCGCCGCGTCCACCCCACCGTCGGCACCAGCCTCGGCCCGCGCGCGCGCACGGCCGCGCCTGAGCAAGAGCCTGACCACGAGATGCAGCAGGCAGGAGACGAACAGCACCACGGCCGCTATCACCACGACGAACAGCACCACGGGGCTAATCTTGGAACCATGGCCGCCGCCCCCGGAGGACGCCGCCCCGCCGCCGTCCTGCCGCTTCTCGACTTCCCCGGCGACGGCGAGGCCCGTGGCTAATCCTAGCAGCAGCAACATCTCTCCCTCCTCCCCCTCGTCCTCGTCCTCCCTGTCGCCCAAGCCCAATCTGCCGCGGGCAGCGCGCTGCTCATTTCGTGCACTACGAAAATCGAACGCCTGGGGGCTCTGCCTGGCGCCGGAGGTGCCTGGGAGGCAGCATCCAAACAGGCCCTAAACCCGAGCGCCTTTTTGAGCTGAGCGGAGCCTGCCTGAGCAGCTAGTAGTGGTAGCTTCTCGGTTGCCGGCAACTTGCAGGAGGTGCAAGGGGCCAAGGCATTAGGCGATGAGGGAAAGGCCAGGACTAGCAAAGGCTTGTGAAGCGTGACGAGCCCATGCTTATATGCAATTGGGGAGACACAAACACACGGCCACGGAAGCAACCAAACCAAACCTACAAAAGCAGCAGAGCAAACGTGGTTTTCCTTTTGCGGGCTGCCTGCAAAGGTAAAGGACTGAGCTAAGTCCACTAATCTCGTTCTTTTCTTTTGACATTTTGCACTAGAGCAAACCGTGACTTTTGGATACCACTTATCAAAACCAAATTGTTTCAACCACCATCCTAATCCTTTATACTATATATATCAGCTTGTCAGATTTATATACCTAACAATAAATTTGCATCTTATAATAAAATAATTCTTAAAGAAAAGGAAAATGTAGAATCCATATATAGCAGTGGTTTTCATGTAACGAACCCGGATTCGCTGTCTGATATCAAAGTGAGAAAAGAACGAAGGAACAAAGATTGCGATCTTTTTGAACCTTTTCTGCAAGGTTGGTACTGCGTTCTTTCCTTCTCGTATTTGGGCTCCCACTAGATTTGTTCCTTTGGCTATGGCTTATCGTAAATAATCGTAAATTTTTAGCCAGAACAGTATTTTTCTCTCATACAAACCAGCCGGTAGTACTTCTTCACAAACCAGCCAACCGAACAGGCTGGGCGGGCGATGCTGCAATTAGAAGGCCGTTTTCTCGCGAAAAAGGTGCGTGGTGCAACTGTGCAAGGAACCCGGGCCGGCTGGGATAAGCATAAGCTTTGCGGTCTTGTTCTCTCCTCCTCGTCCTCGGTCCCTCGTGCGACGCAAAGAGAAAAGCAAAAAACTGAAAAAACAAGAAATGCTCGGGGAGGCACCGGGCAAAAAGCGGAAAAAATGATGGTGGCCTGATGGCGATTTCGGTGGAGCGTCGTCGCTTGTGCCGGTGGAGGTGGGGGTTGAATGGCAGCGGCCGGCACTCGTTTACAGCGGAATTCGGTGGAGATTTGTGGTGCCGGATGAGATTTTTCGCTGCATTTTATCCATCGAAAGTTGAGGACCGCGTGATGGTCGACTGGTAGCGTTTTTTTTGGCGGCGGGGTTTAGACTGTATTTTATTAAGAAGGCAGGAGTTTAAACGTTACAGATCGGCATAATCTCACTAACGAGACACAGGCGAGATTAACCGTGCGACGAATGAACCAGCAATATTACAAAAAAGGACTATACGGTCATACTGTTACGCGACCAAAGAC